GGCAAACGCCTGCAGAATTCCAGGGTTGCTGTCAGACCACAATCAAGCTGAGGCACTGAGTTTAAGAATGATTAATCACAGATGAATTAGCCTTTTGTTTCTTTTCTGACATTGCAGAACCCCTTCTGCTGTTTCAACTATCTGATGTCTGGCCGTGTCACGATACCAAAGCCAACGGCCTGAAATCACTGTTTACTCTGGCCTACAGACAAGTCTGGATAAAGAATTCAGTCGAAACACCTCCTTCAGACCACAGAAGGGCCTTACAGAAGCGCTCTGAGAAATGTGGAGAAGAAATTTTGAAAAAATTATACCTAACACCATTTCTATCTATGCCAATTTTTCCTTTCAGAGAAAACCGAGTATCTCTGAAAAGTATGGGAAGGGGTCAAGAGAGAGAATATAAACTGAGCTTTACATGCAAATATTAAACATAAAAATTATTTTTAAAAAGGCTTAGAAAACAAAATATATTTAAAACAAAAACTCAATTTTAAAAAGTATAAATAATAATGATGTATAAATACATACCAGTATCTCAGTTTTAAACAATACTGGCTGCTACCCAGGATGTGAGAAAACAGAAAACAGGGTCGGGTGTCCCCCCTGCAGGGCCTCGGGCTCCAGGAGGCAACTCCTGCCGCCACAAATCGCTGCTGCCCTCAGGCGGTTCCACTCCCCTCCGAGCGAGCGAGCGAGCGAGCGAGCGAAGGGCCAGGCGCAGACAAGAGGCACAACTCTGACAAACGAGACGAGTGATGTGGGCTAGGAGCCTTCTCCCTAAGGTTTTCCTTGATCTTAAACACAGATACAGACCCCTGCACACACCCTGGACCAGCCGGTCAAAACAAACAAAACCAGAAAACACAAAGTGTCGTGAGGATGTGGGGACATTAGAACCCGTGTGCATTGCTGGCAGGAATGTAAAATAATAGAGCCACTACCCAAAACAGTACGGCGGTGCCTCGAAAATTTAAAAATGAAATTACCGTATGACCCAGCAACTGCATTTTGGGGAATATATGCAAAAGAAGTGAAAACAGGAACTTAAACAGATAGTTGTACACATTCACAAGAGCCAAAAGGTGGAAGCAACTCAAGTGTCCACCAAGAGGTGAAGGCATAAACGGAATGCGGCAGGTACATACCGAGGAGTATCATTCAGCCTTAAAAAAGGAAATTCAGACCCCTGCTACAGCACGGATGAACCCGGGGGACTTTATGCTCAGGGAAGTGAGGAAACCAGTCACAAGGACACTGGTCCTGTGCGCTCCTTCTATGTGAGGCCCGAGAGCAGCCGCCGGCACGGACAGGAAGTGGGTGGTGGCTGCCCAGGGCTGGGGAGGCGAAGAGCTCTCATTTCGTGGGTAGAGAGCTCTAGTTCTGCACGATAAAAAGACGTCTGGAAATGGATTAACACCTGTGTAGTGCATGATGAAAATAGTTACAGGGGTAAATTTTATGTGTATTTCACCACAATTAAAAATAGTTTTATGAAAAAGAGACAGTGGAGAGGACATTATCTCCTGATTTAGCCAAGACCGGGGGCCTCTGATGCCGGAATGGGCAGCAGCCGCGCTGGGCGAGGGGAGCTCACCAGAGGGCCAGCGCCACTGAGGACGGCGCCAGACCCCCCACTGCAGCAGGGTGAGGGCTCCAAGGAGCAACGCTTCTAAGTTGAAAATATACTTTCCGTTCACTGCAGCCAGTTCCTGAGTCCCATATTGATACTAGTTTATGCTGAAACAGTACCAAGTCCCATTACAGTGGCCACAATTATTGTAACAGTTAGTGTGAGCAATGATAACAATGTATCAAGACAATTTCTTTTCATTAATGACTATTTTCTAGCTCTCCTTACACTCCTTTGTAATTATCCTGTGCCTTACATCTAAGACTATGGCCACAGGTAAAACATATCTATGTTATGTGTATGTAAATCAACCTTTATTTAACACATAGATGCACACACAAGAGGAAAACCAAAGGAATACAGTAAAAATGCATCTTAGGGAACATTATACTCCAGGACATAACTGCTATAAACTTGCAACCACAAGTACTCTGGGAGAAGTGACTGCGACACATGCCACTATGTTACTATGAAGAACCCATGTGATTTCCACCTTGCAGGGGCGCACCATTAGCAAGAGAAACAAAATGAAACTTTGTCATCATGTTAAGAAATGTCCTACAGGCTCAAGTCCGGGTATAAAATAAAATGCCTTATAAAGATGAACTGTCATAAGCCAAACCAGCACATCTCAAGGTATGACTGCATATAGAAACGCAGTGACTTTGCCAAAATTCTCTCACATTGAGCCATCGGAAGCTTCTTCGATCAGTTCAGCTCAATCCAGGACATGAGCCTGCACAGCTCAACACAGAATGACTTTCCTGTAGGTGGAAATTGTGTACCTAGTGATCCCTATCCTACACTATGCGTTTTAGTCATCCATTGCTGAGTAACTACCCACCCCAGATCCTAGTGGCCTAAAACAGTAATAACTTAACATTCTTCACGATTCTGTGAGTTGGCTACAGCTCAACTAGGGGGCTTCCGCTGCTCCCTTGGGCTCAATCATGCAGCTGCATTCAGCTAGGAGCCTGGCTGAAACTGAAACACCGAAGATGTCTTCAGGCCTCCCAGGTGGCCCTTCTCTCCGACAGGGTAACTGGACCTTTTACACGATGGCTGGCTCCAGAGACAGAGGCAGCGAAGCTGCCAGCCCTCTTAAGGCCTGGGCCCTAAGTCCCAGACAGTCATTTCCACGGTATCCTATTAGTCAGTGCAAGTCACAAGGCCAGTCCAGCCCAAGGCGAGGGAAGCAACCCTTCTCTGTGTAACAGCGCGCACACGCAGGGTAGGAGGAAGTGCCGACAGACACCCTCGGACACTGTCTATCAAGCCATGGTCCTCCCTGCAGTACTGACAGACTCGCCATTTCAGCGCGCCTTCAGGGCAGCTCATTACCCAATAAAACACAGTGGGTAAAATCTGCTCTGGTGAGTATCTCAGGCCTGCTGTTAAATACTTTAATTTGCTCTAAGTATACTTTATTGTGCCAATCGTGACTTAATATGTCTAAATCTACACAAGAAAATCCAAATGAAACACCTCTCTAGTTTCAGGCACAGGTACATGTCACTAGGTGCCATGTTTACGTCCCTGCGTTGCAATTACCTACGTGCCCCCTTGACTGTACCTCCACTAGGGCGAGTCCACGCCTACCTTGCTTGCAACAGCAGTCCCAGCGTCTGACATGTACGAGGCTGTTAAAGACTGCTCCCTCTTAGTTATTAAAAATGATTGCTATGTAAAACTCTTGTAGGTTTTTCAATGTATATTTTACAAGGGCAAAAAGGATGTCATTATCAATGCTTGAACAGTTACGTTCTAAGAAAGATAAAATTTTAACTATTATTATAGTTATATGCTAAATTTACCCTCGTTCAAACTTGAAAATGAAAGGTTTTATAATAGTGTACAATTCATTTTCTGGGAATTACCTTTTATGCGTCTCTAGTTTTAGACTTTCAACTTGTAATGAGAAATATTCATGCTTGGCCCAACATCTATCTTACAACTGTGAACAGAACATTTTCTGACTGAAAATCTCTTTTTTATAAGTAGCTGTGCTATTCCATCATAATTGAGGTTCTCATTTACTCAAAATATAAGAACATATCATTAACTGAAATAAAAATATATTGACTCCTCAGTTACCTACGATGATTTATCTTCAATCATTACGCAATAAAAATAAATTTCTTAAACTAACAATATAAAAATTAAAATGAATATGTTCTTAAGGACCCAAAAGTGTTAAAAAAAAAAAAAATGGCAGGAAAATGCTGGCTTTATAAAATTAGTTTAGTATTCAAATATTTTATCATTATTATCTCACAAATATCTACAAAATCACTAACTATACCTCAAATTTTCAGAACTCTTTCTCCCAAGAAGACATAATGTAAATACAATGGTTAAACTGAATCCCCTCCCTTTCCACTCTGGGCTGTAATCTAATTTTAAATGTTTTAATAGTGTATCCAAATTCCCAACAGAAATTAATTTTGGGGACTTGAAAATGAGAAATTAGGAATCCTGAAATTCTAAGTTATTCTCAAAACAGTTCTAATATTCTTCAGACTCTTTACTTATCAACATAGTATCTTAAAAATTAGTTAATAAGAAAAATAAAGTTTAGTAGCATTAAAAAAGAACTAGCCAACAGAGAATATTAAAACACTGGAAAATGCCAGCAAATATACTAGATACTATTTCCGACAACCTAACATTTGAATTTCTTAGCCTGTTAGTAGCAACAGGAAGTCGCAGGTTGAAATTAACAATTTATAAACTTATTTTGCTTCTAACACTTATTTCTTAGAACATCACTCATAAACTCTGTATGTAAACTGGTTAATATTATATTTACATTGCTGTTTACATTGTTAATAGCAGACAGGCCACAAAACACCCAGACAGCATGGCTACAGCTGCAAACAAGGCCACCTGAATGGATCAGACTACAACTCCACACCCCTGTCCTCTTCCTCCAAATGTCAGCTTTTCCCTTGTCTTAGCTTTATGTTGGTGGATTCCTTCAAACCAGTAACATTTCTATGGTGATTATTCAGCTTTAATTCTTGTGGCAGAATTATTATACTTTCTCCCAATTTCCTGAATTCTAAACTGATTTTACTTAGGACTCATTTGAAAAATCATGTACATCTACCTAGAATAGCTAGAATTTCTATATGTTAATATATGTTAATTACTGCAGATGAACCTGTATTAACAAATATTAAGTGTCTATGTATCAGCACATTTCAAGGCAATACAACCTAGATTCTATGAAAAGTTTGACATTTAAAAATAATTCATGATTTACATTAGAAACATATAATCAAGTTAAACCATTATGAGAAACTATGAAAGCACTACTTTTCACAACTTGCATCTACAGCAGACATATATGTGAAATCAATTTTACCTTGTATCTCATCTTGGGACATGAATGAATGTAGAAACCCATATAATAGTAGCTGAGTTGAGGTGTTTTTTCATGAAGTTGCTTAGTGAAAGCAATTTCTCTGCCAAAAGAACAACGAAGATGATGCTATGTTTAAGTCTAATTCCAATAATCAGGGCACGATGTAATTTGATAACAAATATTTGATAAAATTTGATAGTTAAGCTATCGAAAAAATCCAAGTGTTGAAAGACAAACTATTTTAAAAACATTTTAGGATGATTTTTACTGAAAAGACACCAAAGAAACTCTAAATTATTTTGAGCAAATGCATCTAAGGTTCAGGATTTACACTTTCTTGGGCATAGGTAGTAGCTAACTTGAAATTCACATAGCATAAAATTAAAGAGGCCTATTTAATACGGCTTCTTGTTTTTATTCATTAATTAAACAGGTAACCTCACCAAATGCTTAACCCACGCACTGGGTTGGTATCATATAAAATCCAGCCTCCCGATCATGACCTACAAGTCCTGCTCTGTCTGCCCCCCGCCCCAACAGTGCGACCTGCCTCACTGCCCTCCTTGCGTAACACTGTCTGTATCTACCCGTGTCCTAACCTGTAAGACCTTCCTTCCCTTTATTCCCACCAGGGCACTCGGACTTGCTACCCCTTTACCTGGACTTCCACTCTCAGATTTTTGCATAGCTGCCTCCTTTTCTTGCATCCTCGAGTGTCACCTGTTCAGAGAGGTCTTTCCAAACTACCTATATAAAACCAGCCTCATGCCTACAATGATTTTATTTTTGTCACAGCACAACGGAGTACCCAAAATTATGTTCTCAGTTTTCTAATTTACTGTCTGTTTTGATAGAGCTGGAAACCCACAAGAACATCCCACAAATACAATGACTTCTCATACACTAGGTTAGAAGGCTACCTTAAAAAGCTAGGAAATCACCATTAGACATTGGCCTCAGTTCTAAAAGTATGACTTCTAACTACCAATATATAAGAGACTACTGTAGCAATAAACTATTATATACTATCATAATAGGATTCCTACTATTATATGATGAAATATAATCAAAATGGGGACTTATTACATGACTCATTACAACTGTCAAAAGCAATCTTACCGTAATGCAGAGTAGACCCCCAAGGAGAGAAATGAATAATCAGGGTCGTAGTACAAATACACAGACGACACACAGTATGGAAGGATGTCAATCACCCCCACAGCGATGATCTTGCCGTCAAGCCAGTACTGCTGGTGAAACGAGCCGTAACCGCAGTCTGGTCCACCTGGGGGGTTCTCTGCCTGTGAAAGAGCAGACACGCACACGTGAACAGTTTGTCATTTTTCTCTTTATATTTTACATCTTAATAGTTCATCTATTTTACTTTCATTTCACTCAGCAAGTCCCAAAATTTCCTCTTTGTTGCCATCATCTTCTGCAGGCACATGCTGCAAAACTTTTTACTAGTAGAAACACTGACCAAAGAAAAGAATGAAAGAGAGAAATCAGCTGAAGATTTTTTTTTAACTTGTTTTAAAATCTGCCAACAGGCAATATACAGGATGAGCAAGGATTAAACAAGCTGGGAAAGAAGTGGCGCGCGAGAAAAGACAGAGGATGCAGCAGGAAGGGGCCGGGTGGCGCGTGACCCCGGCACTTCCGCTGGGTGCAAGTCCCAGGGAAGTCAAAGGGCTGTCACGCTTCTCCTCAGCAGGATCTGGAAGTAACTGTAACCCCACCGAAGTGACTGAGTGTGACTTTTTTTTTTATATTTCTCATTTGAAAATTCAACATAATTTAAACTATAACTTGTTAAATAAAAACTATGAAGCAGCATAAGAAATGCTTGCTAGTGGCTAAATGGATGCTAGAGATTAGCAATTTAAGTGAACATATACGACAAAATGTCTATCATTTTCATATGGTTAAAATCCCACTGACAGGAAAAAACCTTGTAAAACACATATCTGATAAAGAATTGCGGTACTCAAAAATACAAGACTCCAAAAATTCAACAACAAGCGAACAACCAACCCAATTAAAAAACAGGCAGAATACCCGAGCAGACACTTCAAGAAAGAAGACGTACAACTGGCAAATAAGCATAGGAAAAGATGTTCAATTGACATCATTTGTTGTTGGGGAACTGAAATTTAAAAAACAGCGAGAAAGTACTGTACAACTATTAAAATGACTGAAATCCAGAAACCTAAGTATCAGTGCTGAGGAGGGCGCGGAGCAACAGGACCTCATCCACTGACCGTGGGGATACAGAACAGCAGCCACACCCAGCGGGACAGTTTGTGAGTTTCTCACAAAGCTAAACGCAGTCTTACCATACAAAACAGCAATCGGCTCCTAAGCATTTACCCAGTGAGTCTGAAAACTTAGGCCACAAAAAGACCAAAAGGCCTGCCCCGACTGGCATGGCTCAGTGGACTGAGCGCCGGCCTGCGAGCTACAATTCCTGCTCCGGGCACAGGCCTGGGTTGTAGGCCAGGTGCCCGGAGGGCAAGAGGCAACTGATCGACGTCCCAGTCACACACAGATGTTTTTCTCCCTCTCCTTCTCCTGTCCTTCCTGATCTCTAGAAATAAATAATTAAAATCTTAAAAATAAAAACCCCAAAGGTATACATGCAAATGTTTAACACAGTTTTATTTATTTTATTATTAGCCATAATCTACAAACACCCTGGAAGCAACCGAAGTATCTTTCAATAGGTGATAAACTGTGGCACATCCGTACACTGGGGTATTATTCATCAACAAAAAATAGTAAACTATCAATACATACTGTATGATTCCAATTACATTCTGTAGAAGACAAAATTACAGGGACAGTAAAAAGGGGGGTGGCCACCAAGAATGCAGGTGCATCAGGGGAGGGATGGACAGATGGCGCACAGGGGACTTCTCCGGTGAAACTATTGTGTCTAATACTGTAGGAGCAGACACGCGACATATGCATTTGTCCAAACTCACAGAACTTTATGACACCAAGAATGAACGTTAATGTATTAAACATTTTTTTTTAAAAATCGTTGAGGAGGTAACGGAATCCCAGGAATGGACGAGGAGAGAATCTGTGCAAAGCGGCCTTTGCAAGAGGTCGGGGAGGGGAAGGGCGCTGACCCAAGCAACCTTTGGGGTCTGCAAGAAGGAAGGCAACGGGAAGTCCGCTCATAAACATTGTCACCTACCTGACAAATTTTTTTCCCAAGAGTACTACAGGTTAACAGCTCTGATACCGATACACATCTACACTGGAACCGAACAATTAAGGAATCGGATGGAGGGTGGCAGAAGCCAGGTTCAAGCAGGGATTTACAGGTAAGAACGGGGAAGAGGCTAGAATGATCCGTGTGGTAATGGGTTACAATTAGAGACAGGAGTAAGAACTTACGTTTAACTTAATATAGATATAGATGATTACATACAGAAATACTTACAGGTATGTATCTCTCATAGATATGTTCATACAGGGTTAGTATCCACACATATATTTATTTGTTCTGTCAGATGATAAGGCCTAAAAAACTGACACCCAGTAGCAAGAAGCACCTAGCACCCACATCTTGGTTTCTCCGCTCTGCAATGAAAGGAACAAGAGAAAGCAAAAAGGAACCATTTCTCTCTGGAGAAATGGCTGATTCCAGGACTGGGGCAGAAAATATTCAAGATGAGCCTACAGTATCTTGTAGTGCCCAAAACTAAGGAAATACTCAAAAAAAGAAAAACAAACCCACATTAATGGAGGTATATCCAAGAGACAAGGGGGTCAAGTGAAAGAGCTCCCAATGGCCTAAGTCAAAATAGTCTGGACAACAAAGTAGTATTGGGTTATAACCCAAAGTATAAAATATATATGTATGCATCCACACTGATATAAATGATTGAATGAATTAATAAATGAGGAAGGAAGACAAATCACCCAGGAATCCTAAAAGTTTATGTAGATACTCATACCCTAAAGGTAGGGGAGCATGTAACTCCCTACTCCTAAGTGTGGGCTGCACACTTAGGAAGACAGTATGGGAAGGGGAAGTACCTGCACAGACACTCAAGGTCAACAACGACAAATAAAGGAGGTAGTTTACCGAGGTGCTAGCAAGGTCAGGAATTTTGGTAACTTCCACTTCTGTAGATAAAATGTTCTTTGGGCAATAAAACATCTCTAAACTTTTAAGGGCTTCCACCAACTATAGTAACAAATTATGTCAAACCCAGATTTCAGCATTCACTGTCACACACAGCTTTTTACTCCTTTAAAAAGTCACTATTATTTCCTCAGAAACAGACAGTTCCAAGAGAACAGGTAAACAAGGAGAAGCATTAACCAAAAGGAAAATACGAAAAGTTTACTTATCGTATTAACTACAAAACCTGAACTGACCCCAATAGCTAATGGACCTGAAGCCTAATAACCTGTTGCAGAAACGAGAATGCTCCAACTACGTAGTAAGAAGTAAACCAGTTCCTACACGCTACGGAATTTTGTGACACCACCCTTCAGACGTAAGCCCCGAGGGTCACAGCGAGGGTCACAGCGACGCAGCTCGCTGTCTTCCGAAACCGCGCAGAAGCGCAGCCCCTGCAGCGACTCGGAGACGGAGAGAAGCTGTCAGTTCACACGGCCTTAGGTGGGGGCTGTCGGCCGTCAGAAACCTCCCCATCGAAACCTAATCAGATGACTTGGAAATGAATCTAAATTCATCTGCAACTTCACTTAGTGCTTCATTCTAGGTCACTGAATCTGTTTGTGTATTCATTCATTCACAAAGAAAAATGTATTTATCAAGGACATAAGAATGGACCCAGTAAGCACATTCTCCATAAATAAATGACCAATGTATTCCGTTAAACCTAAATATAAATCAGTTCTACCCGTTCTACCAGCTTGAAGTATTTTTTAAAACTGCAGTTACCTTCTCAGTTTCCAATATCCATCATCTGTCTCATTCTCTGGGCCTCCCATCTAATACCCTGCTCCCACTTACTGCACTGGTTTGAATGAGCAGTTCTTCTACCACAGGCATTACTCCCATCTCTCAATTCACTTGAAAGTCAGGGGCCCTGGCCACCTGCAGAACACTTGACAGATGTGGGGCGCCTCACAGCTACTCAGGAAGCAAATAACCCGGTACCTACCTACTCGGACTCCCGTCGCGCCACAGGTGAGGAAACCTAACATCCCAGAGTCAACTCAGCAACACAAGCATGAAACCATGCAGTCAGTATACTGACTCAAAAATTAATTTAGTTTTTAAAAAGTGTGTTTTTGCATTTTTAAAACAGAAATCATACTACTCACCCTCAAGGGTAGTTGGTTGTAAGAAACAAATGACAATGTACAAATAAAAGCACCCTGCAGCCTGCGAGCAAATTTGGGTCAGTTTTAGCTTCTGGCTTAAGGGGCCTGAATGGCACCTACTAAAGGATTATGTCTATGAAATTACAACAGTAGCTCATTCACTTAATAGCAAAGTTATTTAAATGAAGAGCAGTTAGCTTTAATTTCCTCATAAGTAAGTCAGTGATGTGATTAGCATTATTTAACAGTTTATCTTTCTCATGCCTTTAGTTTATACAGTTTTGGATATGTGAAAGGATAAGCAAAGTTATTTCTCATAAGTTCCTCAATTTCAAGGATGCAGCTGACACCAGGAAAAATACAATGAAGCTCACCACGAGCTATACAAAAGGAAAACCGCCTCTGTTCCGGGCCAGGACGGCTGGCCGCTGTGATTAATGAGCTCCGCACCGCAACTCCGGAGACGCCATCCACCCCGAAAGGCCTATTCAGGCTTCTACTCAAACCGCTCCCACAATGACTGCGTATTTACTCTGATGAAGTGCACCTGTCTCCTGACCCATCGGCCTCCATGTGCCTCAGGGATGCTTAAAACAAACACTGTAGAGACGCAAAAAGGAACAGGCAAAGTGGGGGTCATGCGCCAGGCGCCGGGGCAGCCTGGGGTGGGGTGGGGGGGTTAATGAGGGGTTCAAAGATTGGTACCGATCAAGTCTTCAGGGGCTATAAGAGAGTAGAGCCTGTGTTCTTCCTTCTGAGGTATCCAAAAGTACCACTCCCAAAACACCACTGTTCACACACAAATCTACATTAGATAATTGGTGTCCTGTACAGCATTATTTATTTATTTATATTTTAGAGAGAGGGGAAGGGAGAAAAGGAGGAAGAAAAACATCAATGTGCAAGAGATACATGGATCAGTTGTCTCTCGCTTGCCCCCTACTAGAGACGTGGCCTACAACCCAGGCATGTGCCCCAACTGGGAATC